GTGTGTGTGCGTGTTCAATGTTCCCGTGTTCTTAATTGTGAGTTTTAGTTTTTTATTTGTCCGTTGAATATCTTTTGCAACAAGAAATAAACTATAGTACCTAATCGATTACTTGTTCCATAATTGCTAAAAGTAATATTTGATTTATCTTTGGATTCAAAACGGTGCACGGCTTCACCTGTTATATATAGTTCACAAATAATGTTGGCCTATAATGCACTAATGGCTAAATATACAAGTAGCATCAAACTCGCAATCTTTTATTTATAAGGGAACATTTTATGGCATGAGCTAGGCTATAATGCAATTTTATTTTGATATATTTAGAAAACTTCAATCCTAAAAACACAACTCAAAACACCTGGTTGGTATGAAATATGTCTATTTTCTCAAAGGAATTCATAGGAATATTAATTAAACGTTTACATGTCTGATACATCACTGTTTTATTGTTTCAATTATATGTTGAGCTTTTGAAGAACAAATACTTCTTTGATCCTATTTATAAGTCACTCGTAATATATTTTATCGAAATAAATTTTTTTTAATTCTCATTAACTTTACTTAAAAATTTAACAACTTTCTAATTTTACTCTTATTTAATAACAATGTACACAATATTTGAAAGAAAAAATAATATATTTATATTAAAAGTTAATAATGTCACTTATAAATAGAAAAAAAGTCAAAATCTTCTTTACTTGATAAATAATAGTACCTAAACGAGAGTAGTTCTATGAATCGTTGATACTATATTTGATTTTGGTGGATTCAAAGCAGTATGCACACGCCTCCACGGTTTCGCCCCTTTCAACGCATATTCAAACTTCACGCCATGGGATGGGAGTGGAAGCAAGAGCTCCAGTCAAATGTCATGCAGGGTGACATCATAAAATTATTATAATGCATTTTATTTTGGTTTTATTCACGCGGCAACATTGATTAATGTCAAATTACCTTTAGGAAATATCAGCGGTTCAGCAGGTTTAATTGCCGTCCTTAATTGTATATATAGTCCTACCCAATTGATGCATATTTAGTCAAAATATCATGTGATTTTAGGATGAGAGAGGATTTCATGCCTATTTGGGGTAATAGAATATCAAATAAGCCCGTTTGAATCTAAATAAGTGATTATAAAGTATGTTTATCCTGTTTGGGTAATTTTTATAAATTTTGATAAATAATAATTTTACTTTTCTACTGTACTTTTAAGACAAACACCAACGAGTAGTTTATGTGTTTGAAGAATCCCAACCAATTTTTATCAATTGAATTTTCTGCAATATAATCTATCCTCCCACACTTTTTCCAAAATCTCTCCCCAAATAATTATACTACCTCTAGTCCTTAATATGAGACCTTATTTAATTTTTATTTTGGTCCTAAATATAAAACTCCAATCCACCTGTCTCTCATATTTATGTATTTTTTTCCCAATATAGTCCTTCTAATTAACAATAGTAGTTTTAACCAATGCACTTGATTAGTAAAGATATTTTAGGAAATACAATACATATTTATTACAAATAACTAATTTACTTCTTTTTTTAATTTCTTCAAATTAGTCAACTAGTTCTTATAATTAGGACCAGAGGTAGTATTTAATAGTACTTATTAAATTTATGCCTTGTTGGTAATTATACATTCATAGATGATTTTAATAAATGAAAACCAAACATATAATCATAATTCTTAGAGTCACTTATGAAAAAGACATCCAAATAGAAATCATAATTAACTAACACTTTATAATCAATGTCATTTATAAAATTCACGATGATCTAAAATCACAGTTATTCGCTGTTAATCTAAATAGGCACGTTAATCGTAAAAGAGAAGAAATAATATTCCATTCGGTTATATGTTAAGTTAGCTGTTTCTAAAACATATGTGTTGGTTTCTTTGACATACTACTTTTAATTATCTGCATTAAAAACTACTTCCCTCGATGAAAAATTCTCTAATATGTATAATTAATAAAAATAGTTTATGACAAAAATTATAGATTTAATAGAGAAGGTGATTGATTGAAATACTATATTTATGATAAAAATAAATTTATGTCCTAATTTTTATATTTAAGATCGGAGTTATTATTTTTAAATAAATATGATGGCATTGTTTCATAGAGGAACATAAAACCCAATCAGACGACTTAGTTCAACCAAAAAACTTGATCCACTCTAGCTACTTTTCTTTTCTTTTTTTAATAAATACTGTACGGTCTATTTGTGTGCTTATTCCTTTTCTGATTTCAGCTTCTTCTTCTTCTTCTTCTTCTTCTTTTTTAATTTTCTCGTGGTAAAACTTTGTTAATTGTTGACTTTTGGTGTTGCTGTGTTCATTGGGAAAACTTTAAGAAAATTTATAGAAAGTTGATAATCCAGAATATCGTTTGACATTCTCCAGGTCAACCATCAACTTCCGATTCCAACCAACCGCCCTTGCTTCCATCGGTACCATTTTTTAATGATGGTGTTATATTTCAGTTTAAGATCTTCATATTTTTATATACAAAAAGGTTTTGGATTAATAACATCCTGATATTTACAACACATTCTTACATATCAAAAAATATACTATGAGAATTAAATAAGAGTAAAATTGAAAATATATTACAAATGACCCCTTAGATCAAAACTTCCCCTTATAATTAACTTATATTTATGACCCCAGTAGTAAATTACTGCTAATAAAGTTTAATCATAAATCATAATTTAAATGCCGAATGTTATATTTTCATACCATGAAAAATGTTTATACAGTTGTTATTACATTAAAACATAGTACTGTATAAAAAAGATTGACTGGTGACACACACACACATATATATATAAAAGATTTTTGTATAACTTGTTCACTGTGGAAAATTTGTTATTTTCTTTTATCATTATTTCATTATACTATTATTGATATTAACTTATTATAATATATTATTAACTGCGAAAATGTAGTTGCATATCAATTATACTACCATACAAAAAGGGCATTAGTTAGAACTTGCATGTAATTATCTAAGGACCCAAACCTAACATTATTAAGTTAATTTTCTGAAGTGTCCTTTCCTCTAATTATATGAAAATTATATTAATTATATTCTCTCAAACCACTATTTTAATTTTTGGAAATAAAAATTAAGCCCTAAAAAACAATTGCCAATTACAAACCGTGAAAAAAGCAGTGGCAAATTATACCATACAAGGTGGCAAATAAAAGGGTATTATATATTAGTTGCAACTTGCAAATAGTTATTTCAAGGACAACCTAAACCAAACTATTATTAATTAAGTTAATCATTTTGAATCTACTTGTCCTTCCTCTATTATTTTTATCCCAATTACTTATACTTTTGTCAATGAAACAGTGTTTTCAATATTAGCATGTGACTTTTACTCTGGTCTCCAACAACCTGGCCACATGACAGACATGTACCATAACGTTTCACACGGTTGATGTGTCCCCAATTAATTAAATAATAATGCCATATCCGGCCATTAATTACCAAACAATTTAATTTTGAGCTGTGGGTTTCTTATATAATTACGTATATAAACACGTAATTACCAAAATGCTTAATATTCCACGCAAACATACAAAAACTACAAGTGGGGTAATTAATTAAATTATTTAGCTGCCCTCCCTCTCTGTAAATTAAAGCCGACAATGAGTCCCCAGAATTGAAGTGCTACAGCAATGGAGGCTCAGGTCAAACCAGGCTCAAATAACAAACAAATTTTAATTTTAGATTACAAGGCTACGCTTTTATGTACTTATTTGCTTGAATTTTATATCCAACAGTTAACAATACTTTTTAAAATATTTTTTATGAATAATTATTTTTCATCAACTAGTCATTTAGTGAGATAAAACTCATTATTCTTTTTGTAATCAACTATTTTATTAACAAAATGTGAGACGTGGAACGGTGGGAATTTGATTTTTTTTTTTTACAAGAATAAAAAATTACTGGCCTGAAAAAAATATAAAATTTATAAGATTTGATGTAACTAGCATTACTGTAGCATATCATATGTCGTTAGCAAAATAAGATACTAACTAAAAAGATACTCCTTAACTAATAATGAAAGATTATAACTTTAAGAAATCATAATAAAAGTTTAAATCAAAAATGAAAAATATTTAATGTTTATTTAAAATTAAAAAATTCCAGATACAATTGTTTTTCTTTATTTTTGAAACCATGAGGACATCTTAATTAATTACTACCAGCAGATGAAGGTTATTTTTATACACAACAATTTAAATTAGCCATCAAAGGAGTTACTCCTCTAGTCCTATTGATAAGGCAGGGAGAAGACATTTTTTTATGCTATTTATAGGATAATGAGAGAAATTTTTTGTATGGATGTATAATTTTACACTTCATTTATTATTGTTTTAACTTTGTTTACATAAGGTATGATGTATACTCCTATGATCGTATTTAATTGTAGGTCACTTCTAACATGTTTTACACAAACCAAAAAAAATCTTAAACTTCATAATTCTCATTTAAAATTCAATAATTTTTCAACTTTATTCCTGATTAATATAATTCATACTTCATTTAAACAAAATCAACACAATAATAAATAAAGAGTAAAATTATATATTCATACGAAAAATTTCTCTCAGTGCTACGTAAATAGGACCAAAAAATTTCTTCTTTTTACCTTATAAATAGGAGTAGAGGAGTATTAAAAATAGAGATAAATTAAAAAATTGTTGAATATTAAATAAGAGTTAATAAAATTTAAGATTTTTTTAATCTATATAAAATATATTAAAAATGATTTATAAATAAAATTAGAGCAGTACATTAATATTACATCACATAATCCAAGGACAATCTTTCCATGTCATTTTCCTCCCAAAAAAAAAAGTCCACTTTCAACAGTCAGAATCGCTGGCCACGATTACAAAAATTTTCCTTTATAAATATCACTCCCATGCCTGTTTCTGCACCAAACAGTAGTTCCAATTTCCAATATTCAACCTCTCACCCTGCAACATGACCCCACCTTCTTCAAACTTCCATGGCTTCCAACACCAACGCCAATCCAGAGATATCATCAAAGGCCCACGTCCTTCTCCATTGATGATCAAAAGAACCTCTCATTCCATCAGAAAACCTTCCTCATCATCCTTCACACAGATGACGGCGGCGGCCGCCATGAACAATCCCAAAGCCCATCACGGTCATCTTCATCATCATCATCAACAACAACAACAGATAAGGAAGCCTGTCATCATCTACACCCACTCGCCCAAGACCATCCACACCAAGCCTGAAGATTTCATGGCTCTCGTTCAGAAGCTCACCGGTAAGCCCCGTCCTAAAGACAAGAAAGAGGCTGCAGTTTCCGGCGCCGGCACCGAGAATTTAGAGTCGTCTTTGTCCGATGAATCCATCATTAGCAGTATTAAACAAGAGAAGATTGGTTCTTGTGATGTTAATAACGAGATTACGAGTTCACCATCATCGGCGCTAAATCGATGCACTACTGGAGCTGCGGATCTGAATTATGCAGATATACCTCTTTTTACGCCCAATTCGTCAGATTTCTGGATCAGTCCTTACAATAGATCGGTGTTTAACAAGCAATCTTCTGCAGATTCACCCTTCAGTATGCTAGGTAGTTTGATTTCGCCTTCTGGGTTGGAATTCATCAAAGAGCTTCCAGAATATTGAATTTTAACTTTGGAGATCATTTGATCATATGAAGGTCATCAATCTGATTCTTCTTTCATAGTGTAGATCAGATCAAATTGTGTTGTTTTTCTTGCTTTCATTGGTTGGTTTGTCTACGTTGAATAAAGTTTTGTTAGCTTCAAAATAACAACTAGATGCCTAGAAGATAGAATAGTAGCTAGGTATCCTCAATACTATGAATAATCAATAAAATTTAATTTATTCTTTGTGGATATATATACACATACGAAGGGTAAATTGATTGGTTTGGATTTTTTTTTTCCCTTTTGTTGATTCATTTTGATGTATATATGCCTTGTTTGCTTCATCTTCTTGACTTTGAAATACCTCTTATTACCAGAAGCAATCGTCCTCACCATCATCTTCCTCTCTTATTATAAAATTAACATATCATTATATATATCACCATCAAATATGTGGCGTTTATATTTCTAGAGCTATCCAGTGATAAAATATATATATCTTTGAATTAATTAATGCATAACTATCTAGTAAGATGCACACAAATGATGGGTATGAACATGATCGCTGACCATTGTGCATAAGTCAACTCGATTCTTGCTAGTCTTAACTTCAAATTTTTAGTACCATTTGATATATTTTAAATACATATCGTTTTGGAAGCTATTAATGCTTCTTTCTTCTTGTTATGGCTTAGTTGTCCACCAATAAACAAAACGTCTGGAGACAAATGCTTATATTAGTAATATCAAACATTAGAGTAATTTTGGTTTACTTATAAATTAAGTTAGGGTTTCTTCCAGTTAGTTGCTTGTTTCCTTCGAGATTCGAATGCTAACGATCGTTCATTTAATATACTCGCTAGACTCAGGTTTTTAAAATTTTAGGTTAAATGGTCTTAAAAATTTTCATTTTATAAACTAGAGATGGTACTTAGGGGAAAAATACATGCACCCATGGCAACTATGTAAATTGGTATGACTTGTGCATATTAATTGTGCCTTATAATACACATAATAGCATATTCTATCACCTTTATTGTTTTGTTTCATTGGTTTTTTTTTAATTATATTTTAATGGTTCAAAAGCTTGAGGAGAATTTTAATGTTGCATCTGAATGACTTGGAAGCCGTTCAAATACTTAAAATTTAGATGAACAATATCCTCAGGTGGTTGAGCAGAATCTGCAGATGCCAATATTTTAGCCTACATAATATGGATGTGCTTCAAAAAAAATTTAGAACAAACAAAATGCATATAGAATAAAAGCAAAACTTTATAATACAATCTAAATAAAAAGACTGCAAGGAGAAATTTTCAAAAATTAAAAGACTTTATTTTATACATATTTGATAAGCAGAATTTATTTTAAAATTTTTATTATTGATTTTTTTGGTGGAAAAAATGTTCCAAGAATAACCAAAAACTTCGACTGATTTGAACCCTAATTCCCACACACACACACACACACACACTCTCTCTCTCTCTCTCTATATATATATATATATTTCCCTTAAACTTATACAAGTATTGCTTCCATGGGGAATAAGATCTAAATCCGCTTCAATTGATATATAATACAAACAGCGCATGATAACGACAAAAAAAAACTTGAGAGAACGTTAAATGTGTAAATATTTGTAGGCTTAAGATCTAATCAACAGGAGGAAGCAAGACAGACGCATCCAATTGCAGCCTTTTAAACGAAGCCGACAATATATATATATAATATTATATTATATGGTTAACGAAGTCAAACATTCTCTCTCAAATATCATCATAGAAATTGGAGCTTACAACTCAAAAGATTGACCTCAAACTTCCTTTCATATGAAAATTTAAGGTAAGAAATTATTTTCCGGTCCTAAATATGATACCCATTTTGTAGTATAAATTACACTATAAAATAGGTCTTATATTTAGAATCGGAGGTGTTTTATAGTACAATACCACTCTCTCCCTTCTTCCTAATTCACAACTCTGGCCAACTAATACTGATCGATAACATGTACTATTTGATATTATATTAAAGTTTGACGGACAATTTCCTAGTAATATCGTATGGTGCAAAAAAAAAAATCAACTAGTGGCATACAATTCAATGATTATCTTCATTAAATTAATGTCAAGTGAAAGTATTATTACGATATAGACCAATGCTAAACATACAACTTCTACGCAAACACCTATGAATTATAAGTTATTTAATTAAGTTGTGTCCAATATATTTTGTGTGTTTTGTACATTCGGAATAGTTTCTCTTCTATATTTATTTTCGTTAAATTAAATAAAAAGTAAAAAAAGATTGTGAGAAGAGACAGTGATGTTTTATTTTCGGTGGACCAAAGGCTAAGCGGCAGGGTGGGGCAAACTCCCATAAGGTCGTCTTTGACTTGAGACCGCATCGATCCTTCCACGGCCATGCTGTCCCCTTTGACTCTGAAGCCAATGTTCATCGTATTTTATTTAATTTAAAAATAAATATTGTTCTCTTCTGTCGTATAAAGAGATTTAGAAAATTTGTTAAATTATTCATGTTTTATTGTTGTGTAACAAATATGCACCACTTCTTCTAAAATGTTCCTCTTTCTTCATTTTATATAAGAGAGAGAGAGAGAGAGTTTTTTTTTTCTATTTATAAGTTACTTGATTCAATTTTTTCATATGAACATATAATTGTATCCTTAATTTATTATTCATAAGAATAAGCCACTAAAGTATAAAATATATATATAAGTAATAAGACTAAAGTTAAGAAGTTACTACCTCAGGTCTTAATTATAAGAGCTAGTTGACTAATTTGAGGAGATTAGAAAATAAGTTAAGTTAGTTATTTGTAATAAATAAATAATTATGTCTTTTCTAGAATCTTTTTGCTAATCAAGTGTATTGGTTAGAACTACAATTATTAGAAGGATTATCTTGAAAAAAAAGTATAAATATGAAAGACAAAATAGATTGTGGTTTTATAATTAGGACCAAAATAAAAGTCAAACGAGGTCTGATATTAAGGATTAGAAGTAGTATTTTAAAAGGAGTTAATAAGATTACTGCTGGTGAAGCACGTTAAAAATACATTTTAAATTGGATAAAATGAGGGCCTCCAAGCTGAGAGAGGGAGCATTAAATTTAAATGAGGGCGGGACAAATAATGCGAAAAAAAATATGCGAAACGAGGAAGACAAAACAGATTAAAATATTATATTTATTTATTTATAACCAAAACAGTAAAGTGTGTGCAGATCTGTTGGCCAAGAAGGTGTTATGTGCCGCTGAGGGGTTAGTTTTCTTTAATTCTCTTCCTGATTTCCTTTCACATGTTCTTTTCTCTGTTTTAAGCACATGGTGTGGTCCATGTATAAAAAAAGAATTGTTATGGAGTCCTAAATAAGAAACATAATTATTAAAAAGTCCTATTAACAATATGAGTGACATGTAATGACAAGTTTAAAAATAATAAATTATGACTGTTCACTTATTATTAAAACTTATTGATGATTATTTTAGTTTTTTGAAATCTCATTGTAATTCTCTCTATGTACAAATATAAAACTTTTGAGTATACACTAAACTAAGGTACAGATTCAAATTGAATGTCTAAAATTTAAATTTAAGATCACTGAATATTATTTTCAGATGATTAATTTTAACTTAGGCTTTATTAAGTGCTCAATTTTGCAGAGAAATAAAAAATTCATATTAAAAAGCATTCATAATAATTATAAAATCAACTAATTCTAACAGACATGTCAATAAAATTTATTTATCAAAAAAAAAAATCAATTTATGCTCATAATTTTTTTTTGGTGAAAAATATGTATTAAAAAAAGAAAAGGATTGAATTGCATATTTTTGTTTTTGCGTTACCTAGATTTTGGCGTTGTTGAATAGAATCCTCGCTCCTCACCCCCACCTTGCCGGCCACGAGGCGTATCATATTATCATGCCTTCATTGGAACTGAGGAAAGTCATGTTTGGAAAACCCGAAAAAGAGTGGGCTGATGAGTTCAAAATAACCCGTTTTGACATGGTCCATTTAAGGCAGCCCGCTTACGTGTTAGTCTAATGCACACATTTAGGCCCGTACTCAAAGACCAAAAACACTCAAATTATTCAAACCATCTAATGATGTCCGGTTTGTCTCTGTCAGAGTATTATATCCAATAGAAAGATACAAATATCTGATAAATAAAAGGGAGAATTGCTATGAAATTTTAAGTAAGGAACATGATTACCAAAAAATCTTAGTAACAACAAAATAGCTTATAATAATAAGTTTCAGGGTAATTTACTGATAGTTATTATTATTATTTTTTCGTTTGGAATGTCGGAATGTCATTGTAATTCTCCTAGAAGAATGTAAATCACAGGATCAAAACCCAATACAATATGCTTTCGAGTCATTTACAGGGGAACTTGTGCCATTAGACGAAAAGACTATCAGCGATGTCCATAATTTCTAGTACGCGTGCTCTTTCAACTGTTTCGAACCGAGCATGCCCTCTATGTCTTGATACGAGTGGAAAAATAATTCTTTTTTTTTTTTAAATATAGATATCCTTTTATTAGAAATAATTCTATTCGAGGTATTATCAAGTACTAAATCACGTTGTGAAGGATTGATTTTTTTTCCTAAACCCAACCTGTAAGTAAAAATAATTCATTCCACGATGTGACCACCACCAGTTTTTCAGTTGAGTCTGGGCTCTGCCTAGTTTTTCATATTGGGAAAAAAAATTACAACATCAATTACAAATATTGATTTTTATTAAAAACATTGTGATTAGGAATTTATTTTTACTGTGCGAATATTAAAAAAACGAGTTTAAGTTATCTCATCGATTTTTTTTTTAAATATAGAATTGTGTTTAATACCATTAAACTACTTGAATTAAACCATGCAAATAAAAATTATTGAAAATATTTATCAATTTCCATTAAATATAAAATGCAGAGAGACTCAGTTTACGGCCATTTTACTTCCGCCGCAAAAATGACTCGTCGGACTTGCCGGAAACAATGACAGCGTCCTTATCCCACCATGTATCCAAGTCAGATTCCGTCACACTGCCTAAAGGCGACGTAACTTTTCTCATGTCGCCTACCATGACGCCACAACGGACGTCATCTTTGACGAACACCTTCTCCACCCCGCCGGAACCTACGCCCACGACCTTTCCCTCATTAGGCTCCCACTCCGCGATCACAGCCGGAGTCCGGCGCCGAAGGCGCGTGTCCCAAATCGTCACGGCCAAATTT